AGACACAGTAGCAGAGGTTGGGTACCGTGTCGCCCCCCATCCGGGGATGGGGGGGGGGGCCTAGCCCCGGCCGAGCAGGGGGTACACCACGAAATAGCCCAGCGTGGAGCCCACGATGGCCCCGAGGAAGACCCAGGCGTTGTAGGACATGACGGCCAGCATCACCATGTAGCCCAGCACCACCTGCACCACGTGGAACAGCGTCTGGCCGACGTGGTACCAAAACCACCTGCAGAAGATGGGGAAACCCCATCAGCGAGGGGCAGGAGCAGCCAGCTCCCCCCCTGCTGCCAGCACCCCAGAGTGGCCAGAGATGGGTTTGAGGAGCAGGGAGAGGGGTGGGCGCTGCAAACGGCGGCACAGGGGGAAATCCTGCTCCAAAGGAAACAAGAGGATACTATTAAGAGATTGGCAGTAAGAGCAGCCTCAGGCATGCTAAAAACGAGGAAAAACCCAGGGTTTGGCTCCAATGGCTTGTGCTGGGCAGGAATCGCCTGGGCTGAGCTGCTGCTTGTGCCCGACCCCAAACCACGAGGACTCTCCTGAGCCCACAGTGTCTCCTGGGGGAACGTGGGCATTTCAACCAGCTGAAAATCCCCCCAAAGTACCTGGAGGTGTTGGGATGCCCCCAGAGCCACCTCCCGAGTCTGTACACGTACCCCTTTCCCGGGAGCCTATTCCTCCACGGCTGCCTCTTGCAGCCTTTCTCCCCTCCTGCGCTGGCCCTGGGGCCACTACCCGTCCCCCAGCCCTACCGTGGCCCCACCGGGGTGCCAAGGGGTCCCTGCGGTACCTGCCCTGGGCAGGGCCGGTGCCCCCCTCCTCCGACTCCACCAGCGACTCCCGGCTGAGGCTGTGGGGCAGAGCCCGCAGCGCCCGCCGCAGCAGCACGGCCTTGCCCATCTTGACGGCTTCGTAGAGCATCGCCAGCAGCAGGATCAGCAGCACGGAGAGAGCCATGCCTGCACGAGAAACACCCCGCCGCTGCCCATCGCCCCACACCGGCGGGACGGGGGCTGTGGGGGCAACAGCCTGGGGCAGCAGGTCCTGGCAGGGGACCCCCTTATCCGTGGGATAAGGTGGAGGGAACGGAGGGCTTCTGGGAGCAGGGTTGAGCTGGAGAGAAGCAGCAGGTTTGGAAGCGTTGGGAAATGGTGTATTTAGCCCAGTCCTCCCTCTAGATTCCTAGGGAGTGCTTTTTGGAGGGGGTTGCTCTGAAAAAAAGAAGCATCTTTGCTCTGCCTGCACAGAAACGTGGAGGCTAAAATATGATGCTGTGACAATAACAAAAAAAATAAAGGAAAAAGAAAAAGGGAAGTGAGTCACCACTGAGTGACCAGGGGGGGTTGGCAGGCCTGGGCTGGGGGGATGCTTCCCGCACCTCCCTCCCTGCTGCTCCTGGCTTGGGCGGATCAACCCCTGCCTGAGGCAGTACCAGGGCACGGCACTGCTCATCCGGGCAGGAGAGGGTCAGGAAAACCCTCCGAGCTCTGGGGCGAGTGTCGTGTGGAGCCCAGCGGGGCTCAGCCCTGACCCCCAAGCAGCAAGTGCCCCAGCGTTAACGCTGGGCGGGGGCCCTGCTCTCCCCCTCCCAGCCTGCTGCTAACACTGCTCCTGCCAGAAACGCAAAGCCACGGTTCCTTTCCGTGTCCCGCATCCCTTTCCCGGGGGGAGAGCACAGCGGGCGGGCGGATGGACAGATGGGTGTCTCGGGG